TCACTGCCCCACAGTTTGGAAAGGTACTGTGAGTTTCTAACCAGAAAAAAAAAACCAAGTAATATTTCCTCTGCTTATAACGTTGGACATTTGGGATACAAACAAAACGTTTGACAATAAAAATCAAAACAAGACCGCAATCAATGGAGACGTTTGTACAGATTTCACATTATATTCAGAGGGCTGGGGTTACTTATTCACTCGTAATGTTTTCACTCATAATGATGAAATGATATGATAACGTAAATAAATCAAATCATTGGTTTTAAGTGAAAATACGTCATTCTACCTCTCAGCCACGAAAAAAAAAAGTAGAAAAAATATGTCAGTGACCATTATTTGTTTTGTAAAAATGAAACTTTTGTCTTTGCAAGCAAGAGGCACATCTTACTTACATTTTGTTGTCTCTCACCTGTTCTACGGTACGCCATTTAGACCTAAATATTGCTCAGTTGTTTACAATGTTTTACTTGATAAAAGTATGTCCATCTTCCCCTCTGTCTCTGACGAGTCAAAACCAGAGTTGTGTCAGGAGATTTTACCTCTAAGGTAACCCTGTGAAGTATGTTATCTGTAAAACAATAAATAAATACTTGTCATCAAATCGGACAAGCTTGACATCATTCATTAAGATGGAGGAAATAACTTAAAAGCAAACCATTTTTTTTATTCTGTTGGTTTTGGTTCTACAGCATATTGGTGGAGTTACAGTGACAGAATTGCGGGATTCACTGATGCAGTTAGAAAAAAAACAGGAATTTTGCTCTATGCTGGACAAGGAGACCTTTTCTTTTAATTTACTTGAATGCTTTATGATATTTCTTATTATTTTCCAGCTTCACCACTACAGAAGAAACGTTTTTGACGATGCCAAAATGCTGATTTAACCAAAACAAAAAAACGGTCAAAAAAAGTCATCATGAAGTCAGTTGTAATCTACTCTTTCATCAAATATAAACAGCATTTATGTCTTTTTCTTCTCATTTAAATCACCATCTCCTGTTATTCAGCTCTGGTGCTACAATCAAGTGAATAACACTGTTCCATTGAAAGGAATACGAGATGAAATATCACTTTCTACGGAGGAGAAAGTTTGTCAAGAGCGTCTGTAACTGAGTTTGTTTTTCAATACATGAACCACAATCCACTTAAACAGGGAAGTCATTATGTTAATAGAGTTTTATGGTGGATCCTCGCTCCTGAATCTACAGCACAGGTCCACAAATGCTTCAGCACGGAGCCACTGATCATCGCCATGAAACGAGCATCTGGATGCACCTGAACTGCTGCTCGGCTCTAACGAGGACCCTTTGGTGTAAAGATACTGTTATGTTCCTCATTTTAATGAATGGTGTCCTCTTCTGGACATTTATTTCAGTATAAAACATTCAAGTCGTTATACTATTCTGCTGGTACTGCTTTAGTAACCCTAGAATTGACCCCAAAACAAATGTAGACATTTGAATTCATGCTTGTCTCTGTACTGTCATACTGATTCTTTCTTTCAGTATAAAACATTTATGAACATTGTAAATGTTACCCATTAAGCACTAAAGAAGGGACAAGTCATTATGTCAAATAATGTGTTTTCTGAGCAGTCTAACCTTGTTTATAGACACTTTTTATGTTGTGTGGCTTCTTTGTATTTTGTTATTTTTTTATGGTATGCTTAATGTAGGCTATTACTTTTTTTTTTTTTTTTTTTTTTTTGCTTATACCCACTCTGGTGAATTGGCTCATGAACTTTCAACATGTGTTTATGTGCACCATTGTGCTTGACTTGCTTTGTTGGAAAGGGTTTTCAACACATTAAAAATGATATGTAATACTGCGAGATTATACATTTCAAAAAATGTCTTTTTATTGTTGAGTTTACAAGAGAGCAAAACGCTCATTTCATGTTGCTCAGCATCACACTGAGGCATCTTACGGTCATCACAGTCACTGTTGTGAGAAGCCAAGTTGTTGTTGTGATGTCAATCAAGGTTAGTGGCTGCCAGTAGAAATCATCCCTCTTATGCTCTCTCTGTGCTCCCTGCCTATTATTATGGCTCCTTTCCAACATGTTAGTGTACATGCACAAGACAAACACCTGCACACTATGCTGAATTCAAGTCTATGTAACAGTGGACAGATATCAGTGACTGACAGAAAAAAAGAAAGATAAAAAGATAGGCAGTGTTTGTCAGGATTTCAGCTTCTTCTTGGACTTTCAGGAGCAAACAAACCTATTCAAAGCCCCTTCTATCTGAAAATGTAATCTTTTCAATCTATTTTCAAGCAATACCTGCAGCAACGCATGACCGTAGAGATAAAGGTATTCATTTTAATTAAAGGATAAGGCTGGTGTCATTCTATGTTTGTGGTGTATAGTCAACAAATCTCACGAAAAGACCAAAACATAAACTAAAATGGGTTCATTGTCGCTCAATACTTTTTAATACAGTTTTGAAGATGTTTCAAAACTGGTCACAAAAATGTTGCATTTAAAAAACAAAAAACAGCTGGTCACTGTAGGTTTTTCTTTGAGCACACACACCACTCACACAAACATTCTATTTGTCGCCCAGTGCAACAATGTGGCTCATTGATGTGTGGGTTGTTCTTGACAACAATAGAGGTCCATCACACAGAGGAATACAATGGAAGGAAATACCCAAGATATTTTGGATATATTTGGGTCATCTTACCGTTTCTGTCATATCCCAAATCTGAAGGAGGGGAGCAGTCACATCCTTGATAGATCCCCCCCCCCCCCATTCAAATTCTGCAAACAACACCACTGACACTATCCGGCTGGACAGTTGTATGTCCGACAGAATTACTTTCATCGCGACTGAATATTCATAATTGGCCCAACAACGGGGGCGAGGGTAGGAGGGAGCAGTTGGTTGTAAGGTCTGCGGACGGTCACAGGCCTTGACTGCTGAGCGAGTGTGAAATGCCAAAGCCAGAGACTGCTCCGCTGCGCCTGGAGGGCAGTGAAAGAGCCGGCCTGCTCTCACCAACAGAGGCATCAAAAGCAATGTGACAAGACTTCATCCAAAAAAACATCTTCCGGCCTTCGCTCTGCACTCAGACGCTCATCGGCATGATTATCACAACATCAAGTCGGCTGCGTCGTCACCTTAAACTCAAATTGTAAAATAAGTTGTGCAGGGAATGAAAACTGTTCTCTGTAGTTTTTCGGAGAGATTTCGTGTGACGCAGTGTACACCTCCTCGTTCCTCGGGGGTGGTGACACAGTGCGCGCTGATTGAAATCTAATGTTGCTGTTGACATCTGCCTCCCCAGCTGTCATTGTACCACTGTTTATAATTACAGCTGCCGTAGAAGAGCATGGGTGGGTGGCTCAGACACCTCGTCTCCCCCTCACACCGGAGCCCAGCAGACTGCTCTAATGTGCGGTGACACAACAGCCTAGACATACTGCTGCTGCTGCTGTTGGACTAACTGACCACATGAGTTCCTGGGTGGTTCATCCTAAATTCACTCATTTACACACTGTCACACAGACACAAATTATATTGTGCAGGAGACTGGGTGTGGCATGTGGAGCTCTTAAATTACAGGCTGTCAAGTCTTTCTTTTGTCTGTTGTCTATAGGCAGACAGGATGAGACAATGTTTGAGAATGTTCAAGAGAGTAAATGCATCAAAAATATGGGAATATTGAATCAGATTACAAACAACATGTATTGAGCGGAACAAAAGCAGTGTACAAAAAGGCCAGAAGGCGCTGTCCCTCTCCACAAGATGGCGGTGCTAACTCGTTTTCTCAAAAACATCCACAAGTTGAAGGTGGTATTTAAATAAAGTTTAAGGCGAACATGTAATTATTGCCTACTGGGGATTTTGTGATGAGTTTGACTGGCACCGGATTGACACTATTTTGCTTGTATTCTGCTTTTCACTTCTTTTGTTTTCTCGGTTACTCTTGTGTACCTCCAAAATCATTTCTTTTTCTTTTACTCAACTACATTTCTTTAGCTATAGATTAAGATTTTACATCGAAAACATGGCAGCTTCTCAAACATGATGTATTTCTATGGATTTAATTGCTCAACTGTAGGTAAGTAGGTGAGTTGAGCCTCACCTTAACAGAGTATGGCTTGAAAAAAATGCTTGTACACGAAGGATTCAGCAATATTACTACAATAATACATATAGTAACTCTGAAAGGGGTCATTCTGTATAATGGATCATTTTACTGTTCTCTGTGGTGGAAGAAGTACTCAGATATTTTACTTAAGTAAAAGAAGCAATGCCACAGTGTATACATATTCGGTTACAACTGAGAGTACAAAAGTATTCAAATCAAAATATTCTAACAATACAGAAAGTAAAAGTGCTCAGAATGCAGGATGGCTCATTTCAGAGTAATATATATTATTAGTTTATAATTCCACTTTAATGTTGCTTTGTATACTGCTGAGTAGCATTATTATTTATTTGTCAAATATATATTTTGTATAATTAATCTGCAAAGTAAGTAGTAAATAAAGCTGCCAAATAAATGCAGTAAAGTAAAAAGGACTTGCCAATAACATGTTGTAAAGTAGAAGTGTAAAGTAGCAGAAAATGTAAATACTCAAGTAAAGTAAAAGTTATTTAAAATTATACTTAGGATGGGTACTTGAGTAAATATATGTACTGTATCTACATACCACCCCTGTTTATTTCTGTCCATGTAACTGATGAAATATTGTTGTACTTCTACTTTACTTTTTAAATTGTGAGTGCAGGACAATTTCTTAAAATGAGGTATTCTTATACTCTAGCATTACTTTGACTTAAATACGGTTGTGTGTACCACAGCCCAGGGCCGTGGCCTGCATAACCTTCCATAACGAGCTAAAATTAAGCATCCATGTGGCAAATAGTAATAACTAAGTGTTATGTTGCCCCTGGCGGTAACAGTGGGGTACTACAGGCCACAGACGGCTGCAAATCGTTTGATAGTTTCAGGGAACATTCCAACGGCCCGATGCTCCTCCTCTCTCCGCGAGCTGCCAAATCCAAAGCCTTTTCTTTTTGCGTGTCGGAAAAGAAAAACAACATGGCAGACTTTGCTGTCCAATCCCACGGAAGAAGCGGCGGCATTGTGGTAATTAAATAAGAGATAAATAAAAACACGACAGGGAATTGCAGGACAAGTGCTGCATGGTGTCACTACAGCACCGGACAAAAGTTTACTCTGTTCGTGCAGTTTCTGCGCATTCGGACAACTCTGCGCACCTTGTGCGTGTATAGCTCCTGCAGAGGCACGCTGTCTCAGGCCAAACTCGTTTGATGTTTAATGCTCAACAATGAAGCCACATGATGCTTTGCGTTTATCCTTTCCCTCCCAGATTAACGATGACTGGCCAGGCTACAGTTTAGACCTCTTCAGCTCTCCGGCGCACTACTGCGGAGATTTAGACTGCGTCTTCATTCCGCACGGCGTGATCATTGACAGGTACGACACCGACCTTCAGATCCCGCTGCCTATCAAATCAAAACTGTTCGAGCTTCCCAGATGTTTCGATGGTTGCGTGAGAGCTGTGCGTGACCTGTGGGGTATAATTTGTTGCGGGCTGTGGTGTGGTATTTAACTGTTGGGGTTTTGGCGTATAATCTATAAAATGATCACTGTGACGCTGAAAATCCCCCCACAAAACAAACAACAACAACAACAACAACAACAACAACTCCTAAACAGACCATTTATACGGCATCCTGAGAGCGCTTTGCTACACAATCCCCTACAGTTAATGTCACTTTTAAAGCTAGAATATGTATAGAACGTTTATTAGACAATCATAGCATACATGAGTCAGAATCATTCTCAGTCAAAGGCTTTAAAATGTTGAAATCAATATGAAAATAATCCCCCCCCCCCCCCCCCAGTAGTGGTTAATCACTATGGTAAAATAAAAAGTTATGATACCGTCATAACATGAGACTCGCTACACGTAAAACAAGAGCAAGAAATGTATTTGTTAATTATATTGAGAACTAGGGCCAACACTATCGATTAATCTGCAAGTGAATCGTTTATATACAGAACGCCAGAAAATCGTGAAAAATCCAATTGTTCATCCCACATCCCAAGGCCACATCCTCTAACGTCTTGTTTGTCTGATCAACAGTCAAAAACCCAAATGCATTCAGGTATGTATTTACTTTCACGTATGGCAAAAAGAGCTTAACATTTTCACATTTAAGATGTTTCTGATTAAGAAATGTCTAAAACAATTACTCGATTATCACAATAGTTGTGATAGGTTTTCTGTCAATCGACAAATCTCTGCAGTTCAAATCAGAATCGTTCATTCGGCTACATCAGTATGTAAACCAATAACATAAAACAATCGTATTATTATCATTTCATTGAAATCTGAATATTGCCCAGCTGTATTAAAGGTCTCGTATTGTAAAAAGTATGATTTGTTGAATGTCTTTTTTAAATGATAAAGCAGGTCTAAGTGCCACATAAATACTGTGAAGGTATCGAACAATCAATCCATAGAGAAATACACAAAGCCCGTATTCACAAACCGTGCCTTTAAATGAGCCCTCAGGATTTCTGTATGGTTGATGTCACACCTCTACAATAAAAACAAAGCATTTCACAGTTTTAAACACTCTAAATGTGTAACAGTGTATTTCCTTGTTGCGGTGTATGTGAATGACATCAGCTGACAGGAATTAAATATGGACTCAAGCTGTTGTCCATTAAAACGCGCTGAAAAGAAGCGTTTAAGACAGGGTGAATAAAGTGATATTCAAGGATTCAAGGATTATTCAGACACAATATAAGAAAGATGAAAAGGCTTTTTTTCTGAATAAAGCTTGTAAACATGTTCTAGTTGAAACCACAAGTACAAGTATGACCCTGGAAATTAGCATAATACGTCTCCTTTAAAGTAATTTTTGTACTTAAAAATGCCTCATCTTGCATTGTTCAACAAATCAAGATATCGAGATCAGCACCACAAACTGTTCACTTGTCCTTTAGCCTGTGACTTAAGCTTCCACCAAATTCCAATGAAATGTGTTAAAGTATTTCAGATAGCATGCAAACAACAAACAGGAGTGTGAACATCTGGACAGATTGTTGTGATACAGAGAGTCATGGATGGTAAGTTAGCCTACAGACATGAATCACCCACAGCTGTGAGCCCAGGACCTGTGAGACAAGACCACCCCTTTTCTTTAATGCGCTGACGAAGAAGTTCACCTTTCACGTCGCTTACAGGACCGAACGTCTGGCTCGAAACATCATGGACGACCTGGGGGACCACGACATCGTGGTGCTATGTGTGCTGAAAGGAGGCTACCAGTTCTGTGTCGACCTGGTGGACAGGATCAAGGCCCTCAGCCGCAACTCCAACCGCACCATCCCCATGAGGGTCCACTTCATCCGGCTCAAGAGCTACCTGGTGAGCCTCTGCCCACTGCTACACAGACGACGTCCCTGTGACTTAGTCATGAGATGTGTGTTATATGTTATACATTATGACGGTGGTGCATTTGTGGGTCTTTGCCTTCAATGTGCTGTTTTCATGTGGCCACCTGAATACCAGCGGCTTTGAAATGTGTATACAGATGACATGTGATTACCCCGTGTGCTACAATACACTTACGCCTTTAATTCATCATTTGTTTCAAGTTTGATGATTCCCGTCCATGCGTGTGGCAATCGTTATGAAAAACACTACTTAGCTAATGTGGTCCCGTGCAATTCCACATTTTTATTTATGTGTTTTGATTTCCTCAGAATGACCAGTCCACAGAGGATCTTCACATACTCGGAGCAGAGGATTTGTCTTTTTTAGCAGGAAAGGTAATGTTCTTCTTATCTGCACCGTTGAAAAACAGCTGGACTCTTGATAAAGAACTGATTCTGAGTCCAGTGAAACATAATCACACGCTCTTTTTCAATAAAACTAACCGAGGCGTTGAGATGGTGGGTGTTGATAGACGGCAGCCTCAAGAGGGCAGCCTTCCCTCTGATCTGCTATCTCCCTCTCCATCCCGAGGAAGTGCTTCTGCCGCTTCTGTAAAGGAGATCAAAGATGGCAGTTTCTGATCAGATATAACTTTTGTAATGTCATTGTTTAAGTCGAAGCAGAAGGCGGACTCTTGTGTAAATGGGAGGATATACTTGCTGTCACAGCAGATCAGGAGGTCGAGTTGTTACAGGCTCACTCTTCATCTGCTTGTCTTGTTATCATGTCATCGATATGAGCACATCACTGGACTGGAGGCTCTGTAAGTGTGTGTGTGTGTGCTGACTGTTAACTCATCTGATAGTTTATACTATTTACTAAAGGTGATATTTCCAACCTGATTCCAAACCTGTGGTTGGTCACGAGATTAATTGAAGGGGTTGTAAATAATAATTAAAAAAAACACATTCTGACGCACAAAATCATCTTTACTTTTGAGACGTTTCTCTAATCATTGATTTTTTTTCTTGTGAAATACTGTCAGCCTTGCCTCTTCAAATCATAGACATGCACACTACCACAAAGAATAGCAAGTAGACTTTGCTGTGAGTGAAGGAGTAACGAGCAGAAAGGGTTAAGAAGTGCTTTTGCCCTTTCGAAATGGGTTGCACGAATACCAAGTGTCACATTAAACAGAGCAAAGCAGCTAGTGCTTTGATTTAAGTAGCTGGATCTACAGAATGTTTTACCTTTCGCCATTAAATATGAATAAACGATTAATCAAGTGTCGCAACGGTTGTTGATTCGTTTTTCATTTGCACATACAGTAGTAGTACAGTGATGTTTCTCTGCACACACCTGTGCGTACAGTATCTGCACGTGTGAGTGTCTGTGCATGCACAGGGATGAATAACTCAACCTCTACTACAGCAGTCCTACGTCAGCGAGAGTATTCCTCGGTAAAATAAATCAGCTGATCTGAACACTCACAGTCACCCGCCTCTTAGCTGAGCACGCACACACACACACACACGCACACTAATATGTCCTGTAGCCAGGCGTGGCATGAATGCCTGAAACATGAATAGGATATGAGGTAGTAAGCTCGAGTCATTGCCTGCTGCTTTGCTCACAGTATTTTAAGTGTGCCTGTGAAATCCCTGAGCTCCCTGTGATGTATGGCTAAATGTAATCACCTGTTTGTAAGAGTGCTGCGATGTTTTGCTGGAAGAAGTGAACTAATTGTGTGACACGGAACATATGACATAGTTCACGTTACTCCCTCCCTACAGTGTATCTGAGGGTAGCTTCCCCTTTAATATAACAGCGTATTCCTTTGTCTTTCTCCAGGGTTTACTGCACTCTTAATGAATCTGTATGAGTAATGAGGCCTTGACAAAGCACGTGACTACATGCTTGGCTGAATCCTTTGTTTGAAAAGTAGAGTAAACTGCACACAGTTACATGGCAGTTAAAGTTGTTTTTAGTTGTTTTTTTTTTGTTCATCGTGACCTAGCTAAGTTGAACTGTTGGACTGCGGCTCTTCATATAAATAGTGCCCAGTTGTCTCCAGCTGATTAGGCAAACATTTGCAGAATCTCAGCTATTTCAGTGTGACATTCAATGAGGGGCCGTGGGGGACATAGGTTTCCAAAAGTGGAGTAGGCTGACATTTTTCTGCTGCATTCATGTCCCTGCTGTGCGACTGACATCTTTTAAATCTGTGTGTGGTTCATTAGCAGATGCAGCAGTTTTTGCTTTCTGTCCTCAGCCAAGAATAATTGTTTGCCTCTCTCCCTCTCTTCTCATCCCAACATGCTCTCATAAGAACGTACTGATTGTGGAGGTGAGCCAACCATGTTTTTTTTTGCTTCTCTGTTTTCCTCTAAACCAAATGTGGGCCTATTATATTTATCGTCGTGGTCGGCTATCCGGGTCAAGAGGAGCCGTTTCAAGTTTTATTTTCGACATGAGGAACATTTTTAATTGGCTGACCTATATTTGTGAATAAGAGCTGTTTTTTTTTCTCAACCTGGTCATGAACTCTCTCTTGTTAGCCTGTATTGGTTAAAAGGTGCACAAGGGAAGGAATGACATTTACAGGAAATAAATCAATGTATTCATACAGTCATGGTTACTTATGGTGTGCAGATATTGCATAATTAAACATTTTTTTATTGCAGTATTTTTGAAATGGATCCCTTTTAAGTCTTGCATTTTCTTTGATTCTTTATTCAGTATGTGTCTTTTAGATATGACACTCAGTGAACAATGGATAGCAATGAGCAGGCCAGATCATTTAGCAGCCAAGGAACCAAAACGGACCTCAAAGAGTGAATATTGGACTTTCAATCATCAGTTGACAAAGACACAACTCCAAATAAATGCTAAAGCCGCTCACAGTTTGCTAACATGTTAGCCGAATCAACTTAAAAAGTCGATAATATGTCTGTTTTGTTTACAGCTTGTTGCACTGCATCCAAGTGGCCCAGAAAAAAATGTCAAAGAATCAGCTTTAAGTACTTTAGATATTGAATATTTCTTCATCTACTTTGTTGAATTTTCTTAAATAAGCGTTTTACTTTTGGTGAGAGTATTCAACGTGTCTGCCGTTGAATGGCAAATAACTACATATCACAATCAGGATGTTTTGCCTTTTAGGTTTATTCTAAGCTGCTTTTTCTCATATGACAATCTGTGAAAAGCTTTTTTTTATAAAACACAGGCAACTTAAAGTTGTTTTGATCTTTGTTTGATTCGTTTTTCATACTTCTTTCTTTAAGTTATAAGAAACAGGATTCTACATGAGTAACAGGAAGCTAGTGCTCTCTCCGCCGTACTCTCTGCTTATATGCTGTCACAAGTGAAAAATGTTTAATGTAAGTGTTTAGGGACAATCCTTTCTACATAAAGGGCATGTTGACCTACACCTACATGACGAAGCATACCACCGCTCTTAACCTCTTCCTGATAAAGACGCCAGCGGCAGTTTTGTGTAACACTACCCGTTGGTTTTTTGATTTCCTCTTTTCAAGTGGAATTCATTTCTAAAAACAGCTCATAAACAGTTATGCAATACAAGTACAGTGTGACCAACTTCTTCCTTTTCACTTGTACTCGGGTGTGAGATGGATCTGTTTTCCGTCTGCATTTCCGTATTGGCACTCTCTTGCTTTTTTTCAATGGAGTTTTTCTAACTTTTCCTTTCCAGGCCATTGTAGGCACCGGAAAGACAATGGAGACTCTCCTGAAGCATGTTGAAGCCTTCAGGCCCAAAATGATCAAAGTAGCAGGGTACGTTTTTTTTCTGCTGTAAAGAACTTAAAAACTAAACCAGGCCTGCTTTGTGAATCACTTATTTTCTGGCCTTCCAGTCTAGACAGAGAGGGAAAGAAAGAGACAAAGAAAGATTAAGTTTCAAGTACTACCGCATTAAAATGAAAACCTGTCCTACGCGACGGGTAGAAAGAGATATTGTGTGATAATGTCTGCTTTTATTTTCCCACAGATTGCTGGTGAAGAGAGTGCCACATAACGCAGCATGTCTTCCTGACTGTATGTACCTGACCAACCCTTTTTATGTGTTTATGAGTCAGTGGTTCATTCGCACTTATTTTTTTGTTGCAGCTCGCTAGTCAGTGAGTCAGTGGGCCATGGAAATACTGCATTTAATGTTCCCCTTTGTCTTTGATTTCAGATGTCGGCTTTGAGATACCCGATCGGTTTGTGGTTGGATATGCCTTAGACTACAATGAGTACTTTAGAGACTTAAATGTAAGTCGGTAAAGTCTTTTTTTAAATTTAGACAACAGTGAAGAGATCATAATGACTGTCTAGTAAAACTTAGCATCATCAAACACAGACTGCTCTTTCTACTTTTTTTTTAGCACATCTGTGTGATCAGCGAAAGTGGGAAGATGAAGTACAAGATTTGAAAAGAGGACTGCAAAAGGAGGCGGATGTCGTCTTAACAGGAAGCCTGAACATTTTTATCCCTGAGCTGCCACTCACACACAGCTGCTATCGTGACACTTGATCTCAAGCATGCCCCGCTTTGTTATAACATTCCTTCCATGAACCGTTATTAACGACGGACACCGTCATTTAACTGGTCATTTTATAAAAGCAAGTACATGCTTCACCGTCGTTTTAGAGTTGCAACTTCATTCTTCATGTTTGCAGAAGCTATTCATATGTAAGATGTTTAGTTAGTTTGACTCTAACACAAATATATTTTACTTCTTGTATGCAATGTAAAGGACGTGATAATCACGACCTTTTATGAACGTGATCAATATTTGTTTAGTGTGTGATGAAGTAACATAGGAAACATACTGTAGCTTCTTTTTAAATGAAAGGGAGTTGTTTTATTAGAAAATCTGTGATAGAATTTTACATTTTCTTCACCTGTACCTGTACGGTGTTTCATTAGGTAGTTATCTTTGATGCTACTGTACAAACAAAGTAGTTTATAAACTGTGTACTAACTACCTATTTTTGTTCATTCTGTATTTGAGGTGTAGTGGGATACTTTTGTCATTTCTGTGTTTCCTTTCATAATTTAACATACCAGTATAGTATTTTTTTTAGCAATTCTGTGTTATCTATCACTGCATTCTCTTCACACTGTTTTGTTGACTTACAAAATGTATTTTCCAATGTTGATAAAACTTGTTTGAAGTGGCGTCTTGGTCAGAATAACCTTGTGTATCTCACATGTTTTTCTTAGGCTGATGGGAGGGCTTTGAGTCATTGAAACATCATGTTGAATGCTGTGTTGAAATCAGGTTTTTTTTATACAATCCTTATAGTATTAAAGTGCTGTTGAAAATATTATCACAGATTTCTTAAACTCCCAAACCTCTTGTTGACTGCTGTATGTTTGTGTTCTGGTTTTAGGACTGGCTAAAGCCGCTTCCTGAACCATTGGGCTACCATTCTTTGATAAAAGAAAAATTGGCAAACTACAAATGAACTAGAAGGAACAAAAAGAGTCAGTTGTGTTGAGCTGTTGTGCTCTTTGTACACACCTGACATATGACTCAGTCTTGAAGCAGGGAACACAAAGTGCCATAAAAACTCAAATGTTCTTTTCTCCGTGGTACTTACAGTGAATTTACTTTGTGACCTTCTAACTCAATTTAGCTTGCAAGAATTAATGACTTGACGAGGTACTCCAATAGAATCACATCACACTATTACCATCCGAGGATTTAGTCAATAGTTTTGGAAGTAGTGGAAGAAGTCTTCGGATTCTTTACTTGGGTAAAAGCAATAACACACTGTAGAACTACTCCATTATGAGTAAAAAAATGTGCTTAAATTAACAAAAACTAGGTATGCAGAAAAGTGCCGTCTTTAAGTATATATTATTGGATTATTATTTCTGATGCTAATGTGTAAATACCATTTTACAGTTGCAGCTGGTAAAGTGGAGCTAATTTGAACTACTTTTAATAGCGTTTGGAAGTTGAATTTTTAACAATACATCAGTGTACATCAGTGAACACAGACGGAACGCCGCTACAATCAGGAAAAAAAAATAATCTTACAGTATTTGGTTAAATGTACTTGGTTATTTCCAACTCTTTTTTTTTTTAAACACTAGACTTCATAAAATCCAGACAATGAAACAAATAAGAAATGACAAGAGAGGTCAAGAAGAAAAACAAAACAATAACATTTTTTGGGATGTGGTTCAGAGATGCTCGGGTACCAATGGAGTTGGACTAACATGTCTGAGTTATTTGCCAACACTTCTATCCACGGTATAGCTGCTGACGGTAGGCCTGTCTGGGCAGGACAGCTTTGTGAAAGTCCCCTCTCTACACTGACCTCTGTAACAAAAGCTGCCAGTCCCAAGAACAGGTGGTCCCTTATGGCAGAGAGGAATAAAGGGGACATGTGTCAGGGCCGGAGCTTCCCATGAGCTTCTTTTTTTGTTGGTCTACAGACACAATCTGCTCAAGATTTTATGTCGAGTATTGAATTCGTGTTTTATCTGCTTTTGGGAGCAGACCATGGCAGCACTATGGGAGCAAAAGATTATATGCCGTGTGGTGGCTTGCCTGTGTGTGAACTCACTTTCCATATCCACCATCATCCACATGCCAGCCCTGCTCGACCTCACTTTGAACCAGGACATGTGACTCCTCGTTCAGCCTGGTTGTTTATATGAAACAAAATCGGGTACGATAGTGACAAATGCCTGATATGTGCAATGTGGATTGGATAGTGAGTCTGTGTATCTTCTACTTTGACGCACACAGACGGTGTCTGTTCCCGACTCGTTGAAATGGTTAAATAGCACCACTTTTCTTTTTTTTTTTTTTTTTTTACAAGCGCAGCTCGCTTCTTGTAAACTCGCACCCGATTGGCCCGATCAAACTCAACGCCGCTTGTGATTGGCTGAGAGTGTCCCTGTTGACCGAAGGTGGACTCCGACAGAGTCGGGAAAGCTGGAAGCGAAAAAAAAAAGGAAAAAAAATCAGCCACGAAACTGCACCATGCGCCTCCCCTGAGTAGGTTTGGAATAATCACCGGGAAGACGTCCGTACAGAAACTATATTAAATCATGTCTGCCCATCTTGGACCTCCACAGCTATGATTTTACTTTGTCTTCTCGCTTTTATGGACAACCGCCGCCGCTGTTGCCCGTCTGTAATGACGACTCTCAACTCCACAGGTAACTTTGTTTAAACTCCACCGTTAGCATCGATGCTACCCGATAGCAGCCTGTTGTCTCAGTTGGTTGGTTAATTTCACTTTACACGCTTTACAGTTTGCGTTCACAGCGCGTATAACGTGGGCAGCGGCCACAGCGCACCATGTCGTCATTTTAACTTTTTTTTTTGTTGTGGCGGTATTTTAATAAAACGTAACAAGGAAAAGGCTACTTTAGTTGGTCGCTTGAGAACAACAGCTCGACACGCTCTGTTCGTGACTCGGTTGACCATTGAGCTCAAACAAGAGAAGCTCAAATGAGCCCTCTCTAAATCACATAAAAGGCGGTGTTGTGATTATAGTATACACGGTATAGAGAACGTAAGTGTCTCGTGCGTTATACTCCCGGCTGTAAACGGTTGTTTTTTTTGTAACTCAATTTCCAACGTGACGGACTTTTGTAGCCTGTAGTCCACTTGTTGCTGGCCATTCATCATGTAGCGAGTGTTGACGATCCACGTTGTTGTGCCTCGAGCTGAAGGCAGCGAGCCCAGGTTTGGTGTCGCGTGAAGAATGCGGTGATGATTGTTGCTTTGTCACAACACTGTCTTTACCACGTCCACAAAAAGGCGAAACTCCGTTAAGTGTACTTGGATTACTTTTGTAACAGTTAGCAGCTTTTTTTTTTAACAAACTTGTTCTCACGTTTCATTATATATTGTTGCATTGTATTTGTCCAAATCAGCCAGTTTAGAGCTTTGTAAAGACCTGTTGCATAAAGCTGATTGTCCAACATGAAGAACGGGTGATCTGCATAATGTGGGTTGAAGCACTAAGGTATTGATTCGTGTTGTTGTTTCACAGATGCCATTCCTGAGCAGTTCGTGTGAAGATACGTGATTGTAAATGCAGTTATAACACATTTCTTCCTCTTATCTCCCCCACAGATGGACTGAAGAATCGAGCACGAATGGAGGAGTGAATTGGACGGAGTGGAACATCTTTTCTTTCATCCTGCTTGCTGGAGCTATACCTTTTTTCGATATGGGCTTTCACGGATAACAGGATTTGAAGTGAAGTTGAATGATGGCATCACGTTGGGTTCATTCTTGCGAGGATGATGAGAGGCAACAAGCTAGATCTTCTTTCTGCGAGGTAAACGACGACCACAGCTCAAAACCTCATACGTTGTGTGCCTTCTTATACAATGATGAATTACATTTTATTTAAATGGTGGTCGTGAAAGTCATTTTTTGGGGGGGTAACTGACTCTGGTTTCTCACTTAGTTGTTAGTGGGGGAGTGGTGTGTTTGACACTTTGGCCCAGCTGTTTGAGATTGTAACGCCTGCTGAATTGTTTTGCTCCTTATCTCACCAGTGCTTCATTGTTTTGGTTCTTTTTTAAATAATTATAGACATCAGATTTTCTTTTTCTTGTAACCCGCTGGGGCGGATCATGGTTCATGTGGAGATAAAAACAACAACACAGGTTTCCATTGCAGGACAGCGTTTTATTAGATTACATTTTAATCAAACTCATCACTGGTGGAAGTGGGAGGAGACAATGGCATTGAAGCAGTTTATTCAAGACCCGTCTTTCAGGTTGTTAAGCTGTGACCCCGTGTGAGACCAGACAGTACACCATCTGCTCCTCTGAAAGCTCGTCGCCTGAATGAAGACCCTCGTGGTGAACTAGGTAGCAACCCTGTACTGTTGAAAACGGAAGGGCGGCTATTTATAGAACCCGTAGTTTTTCTTTCATTCCCTCCATTGTCTCTAATGTAATATTCAGCTCTTTACTAATGCCTCCCTGCTTCTGCGTGAGTGGTCTGTGAACGAGGGATCTAAAGCTCCTCGTGTTGTCACTTAGATGTATTGAATTTGATCCGAGATCGTCGGGTGCAGCACAGGAGAGCAAAAGGTACCTCCGTACCCAACGCCACATTAAATCAATTCAAATAACAGACTCCGTCTCATTAGGTTTGTTTTCAGTTTATTTATACTTTACTGTATTTATACATTATATATATATA